GAAACAAACCCTATACATAAATACTAAAAGCATTCAAGATGATTAAACACAGAGATCTTTAAAACTGCCTAAAAAAAGAAGCCAAACCAATAGTCAAGGATGCCACAGTTTTTGTATGATCACTGAAAAAGTCCCATCTCATCACAGGTATCGATGGAGTAAAGAACAATGCTTCTAAATGTAAACAGTTGTTAGATGGATTAATGAGGGAATTCATAGATTTTAAGACAATCTGGTGCCAGATTATGAGGGTACCTTATACCAGACTGATCATCATATTTTGGACCATCATTTCCAAGTCATTTTTTAAACAACCCACAGCATTTCAGTAGTCTATTCTAGAAATGTCAAATCCATTAATGACCGGTCCCAGGCTATTGCTGACTAGCCAGCAGAAGCTAACACAAAGTTTCCTTAGTTACTACCACTTTCTCAGATATGGAAATGTTGGACTGAGGAACAACACCAAGCATCGCCATTTTATCTAAATTACGTTTCAATGTATGCATTATGTAGAAGAGTGCTTCTGAAACCAAATGGGATCTTTTACCATGATTACACAGAGGGTAATGTGCATTTGCCACTGTATGAAGATACACAACATGGAGCTAAAACAAATGTTAGCACACTAGCATTTGTAGGAATAGTCACATATCTTTGAAATATGCAGATGGTACTGTTTAGTGCATTTATAAATGCTTTGGATGCCCTTATAGAAATAAAGGTGCCAAAGAGATGGAAGTTGTTGTAGAATTGGTGTTGTAGTTGTTGTATAATAAAAGCATGGGAGAAAAAGAAAGGTGTGATGATTGATAATTGCTAAGAAGATAAGAATATATGAATCTCTACATAGTATTGCTATAGACTTGTGTAAAGGCACTGCAATGTTAGAAGTATTACCCGTATATCACTTCTCTTGCATTAAATTATCCCAAGAATCTTCACATGAATTTTCACTTACCATGAAGTGCCAGACAAGCCAGATATGTATGTTACACAATCCATAATATTCAGTTTTTTGAGTCCTCTCATAGAGCCGTATGTTGTTGTGAATGACCTTGTTCCACCTCCAGTTGTCATAATTGCCACCACAGGTATCTGGGTAAGTCATGGAGCAAAAATAAATACAAAATAGAACCTGGGAAATGTGGATAATAAATGTGTGGTGTTTGAAGGACAAGGGGTTAGCCTTACACTTACCTGAGTCCTCCTTCATATGTTCTAACTCAGTGTTTCTCACACTTGGTAACTTTAAGACATGCTGGCTGGGGAATTCTGGGAGTTGAAGTCCACATGTCAAGTCCAGAAGTTGCCAAATGTGAGAAACACTGTTGTAACTGAATATCTAAAGAAGACCTATGTATCATTGGCTACTCTTGGCATTTGGTCACTTGAAAAAAGTAACTCAGCTTTTTAATAACACTAAAGGATATCACCATGTCAGTTCTAGAGAACTTGTTCCTTCAAATAACAATAAAGAGGCATTCAGAGAAAGTGTATTGTTTAGAAAGATATATATATCTATATCCTATTTCTTATTTAAAAATCCCAAAGCGGTTTATAGTAGTTGTCAAAAAATACTATAGAGGCAGGATAAAAACACAATGAAAACAATCCAGAACTGATAAGCAAATAGTTAATGGCTAGGGAAAGCTTATCAGTAATAGAATAAATAATTTTTTTTTTATGTTAAAAAACATCTGTCAGCAACCCACATACCTCATGATCTTGCAAGTCATAATCTAGCTGGAGAACCTGCTTCAAAGCTTGAGCAACAATTTTCTTTCGCTTACACAAGAACTCTTGCTCCTGTGGGCAGAGATCATATCCCAAGCGCATATCTAGGTCTCCTGGGCAGGAACAAGGACTAAGACATACACATAGATTAGAGACTTCATCTCAATATACAAGATACCTATGATCATATAGAAATGTAATAAAATAAGAGAGATGCTTAAAAGTGACCAATCAGTGTCATAATACAGGAAGTCCTCACAATGACCATTCGTTTAGCAATAGTTCAAAGTTACAACAGCCTCAGAAAAAGTGCTTTATGACCTGTACTCGCGCTTATGATTGTCACAGACCATTGCACCACCCCCCACAGTCACATGATTGTGGTTTGCAACCTTTTTTACAACAGTCATTAAGCGAATCACCATAGTTATTAAGCGAATCACTACAATCATTAAGCAAATCATGTGGTCATTAAGCAAATTCCAGAAAAAATGTCCATTGGGGAAGCTGGATTTGCTTAATGACTGCAGTGATTCACTTAATGACCATCATAAAAACGGTAGTAAAATCGGGTCTGGTTGTAAAATCTGGTGACACCTGAATGACCACCCCGCTTAACGACCAATTTTCCAGTCCCTATTGTGGTCATTAAGCGAGGACTACCATCACATAAAATAGCCATTATCTGTTCAAGTATTCCACACAATATATTGCATATCTCAAAAGTCTGATTTTTTAAAATCTTGCTTTAATGGTATATGAACCTTTTTCATAATGTGGACTGTTTTAATTCTTCTATACAGTGCTAACAGAATTTATGTCATGAGTCTTCTCTTAAATAAAAACATAAATATTTTTGGGCTCAAAATAAAATATTCAAATGTCATTCCTACAAACACTCTGCTTAGTGAGACTTGTTTTTGAGTAAGCATGTGGAATAACTTTCAAGACTGGTTGTATTGTTAACTACTCTGCTAGTATTTTAGCTCTTGTGTCTCTATTCCTGTAGTTCATAATTGCTTTCCTGTCATTTAGCTCATTGGAAGTAATCTGACTGTGTTGTATTTTATTGTATCTTATTTTATGGTCTGGTTTCCTAGAAATTTCTGTTCAATTACTATTAACCGCAGTTTTGACTTGTGCAATAAATTTAATGTGATATGTGATTCTCAACTCTACAGGGCTATCTGCAGCCCAGATATGAAAATAACAATATTAATTGTTAGTGCTTCTTACCAATCATTCACTTTTATGTGCATATTGTACTTTTTTTCCTGAAAAACAGAATGTAAACATGTAAAAATTATAGAGAGCAAACATATTTTCACTTTAAATTTAAAAATCATCAGCTGCACTCTTTAAACTGCTGGTAAAATGATTTTGCAGGTTACTTTCCTTCAAAACACAGTGAGTCAGACTATGTCCCAGAAATAATTTGAATAACTTAGTTCCTTTGTAAAGGAGCAAGGAGTGGTTTAGGGGAAAAATGAGGTCCTGAGGCTGAAAGTCACTTTAAATTCCAGCATTGTAGCTGCTATGAGTAGTAAGCCACTAATGGAATAATGTTCTTAGTTCATGAGGGGACCTTTCTTTTTTGGAATGTTTGCACAAGACTAGAGGAAATTATCCTAACTATGTGGTAAGCCAATTTACATGATGACCATAATATATAACAGTGTTTCTCAACCTTTGGAAATTTAAGATGCTGGCTGGGGAATTCTGGGAGTTGAAGTCCACACATCTTAAAGATCCAAAGGTTAAGAAACACTGATATATAAACTCCCCACTTCTACTCTTTAATTTTATATTTCTAGACTAGTATTTGAAAAAGTTTCCGGAGCGTCTAAAATATTTTGGTTTGTGCTCTGAAGATTTCAGTTCTAAAGAACAGCTGCAATATACAATTCTGCATTTTCTGCTGTCATAATCCAATGGAAATATTTCTCAGTGACTACTCAGACCAGAAATTTGGTGTAGATGTAGTATAGGTGGCTGCAGAAAATGAAGAAAATAGGAAATGGGAGCCTCTCCTTATGATTGTGTACTCAGAATTGTAAAGTATGTCTAGCTTTCAGGGCCTAATTAGTTTGTAATTTCCAAACAGAAATAACCCAACTGGACTGGCAGTTCAATCTTAATCCAGTACTGGAGACGGGCTAGCAATAGCAAAGATAGCAGGATACATAAGGCTGGATGCATGAAACAAACACCTCTAACCTCCAGGAAATGCGAAGAGTCCTATATCTACCTACATAGGCTACCTGAGCTACCTCCCTCTGGTTCTAAATCCAATGCACAAACCATCTGCTTTCTGTCTAGCAGCCTTTGTTCTTTAACTAGGTCCATCTTCTTCAGCTTCTGCTTCTGCCTGTTAAAGGAAACTAATAATTAAAAGAAACTAATCATGAACTATTCAGAATGGCAAACTTCTTAAGTTTGGAAGGATATCTGTATCTGTAACTCTGTCTCTAGCTCTATCTATATCACTGGTTACTTCCTAATAACCAGGGTTTATTTTCAGAGTCTTGCTGATGCTGCTCTACCATTATTGCCAGGAGTTTAACCAGCACTCTTTCTAATTATCTTTGGCTGATTAGTCATGTTCAAAAAATAATTGCTCCATTCAATACCTCACTCTCCGTTTTTGTTATTGGTGTGCTGCTTTTATTTTGTAGCAAGCAGAAGGGGGAGAAATGCATTGGAATAGCAAAGCAACTCCTTGAATCTACCCAGGAAGGATGGGGAAAAGATTACAAAATGCAATTATGACTTGTTTCGATGGAAAGAAAAAGATCCAGGAAATGGGATGAGATGAGGTGAAGTTTTATTAGAAACTTCCCAGCGTGCTATTTCCTCTGAAGCAGCAGCTGAGTGGGAAGAAAACCAATTTAGCTGGAGAAGATCTTCCCAAGACCTACAACACTGAGGAGATACACATCTCAGATTTGCACAGAAAAAGCAAGTTATGTTTTGCAAAAGAGGGCTGTGGGTGCACAATGAAGGATTTCATTCTTTTGCGTGAAGCAATCTAAATTTTAGGTTAGATAGAAGATAGTTATCCATGCTAGAAGTAGAGATAGTTGCTCCAAGAAGTTGATTCCATGGCATTAAATTAATGTTGTTCATACTTCTCAGAGTCTTGGTAGCTAAACAAAATCCTCTTAGGATCTATGGGTCACTTCTATGCTGCTATCATAAAGTTGCCATGTTTTCTTGTCTAATATCCATCCTAAATTATTTAATAATTTCAATATTATTAAAGAAGATGGCAACTGAGATGCTGGATCTGTTACCAGGTCCTGTCTTGGATATTAAACCATTGAACTGTAAGAAGCAGTGATTTTTCCTGTAATGCTTTATGGAAATGAAAGTTGGGGACAGATTATCCTGGAGAAAGTTTATATAATTGATAATAGTCAACACTAACTTGATGGTGCATAATCAATCAATTAATATTTTAAAAGAAGAAGGGGGAAGAAAGTTGGAAGGAAAGAAATTAGACTAAGAAAACAGCAGTCTGAGAAATTGTTAAAACCATTAAAAAGAACAGAACAAAGAAAGCTTGAGATCTTACACTGTAAGGCCATAGTCAGTTCTATGAAGCCTATGTTTCATCAGAAGGACTGGTGCTCCAGTTTGGAGACTTGACTGGGATCAAGGACTGGTGCTCAGGAGATTTGGGAGGCTTCTGGCATTGATGGTTTGCTTGGCAGTGAGAGGCTGTTGCCTGTGGTGCCCTCTGATGATACTGAGTAGAGTATATGCAGCAGAGATGACTGCAGAGTTAGAGTGGCTATCACAGCGTTTGGATCCAAAAGTACAAAAAAATGAGAGAAGAGAAAACTTTAAAATGAAGGAAGAAACGAGGAAAGAGACAATTGGATGGTGTGGAGCAAAATAGGGTAGAAGAGTTGGAAACTGTGCCAGATAGAATTGCCAGTCATGCAGGCTATGGAGGAGGATGAGTAAACACAACTGAAGGAGGAATACCAGCTGTATTGCCCAATGTGGAATTGTGACTGAATTGAGGGAACAATGAGCCACCAACCACATAAAAAGAAGAAGAGATGTGAATCATCTTACTCCCTAAATGAGAGGTGATAAGAAAACAAGGAGAGGGAATTTACCCTTGCCTTAGGTCCCCAAATGGGTAGGGATTATGAGGGGGAGCTTAATTAGCATAGGCAAAGAGAGATGGAAGGGAGGATAACAGTAGTGATAGGCAGGGACATGGAAGTGATCCATTCCGGGAAAGAGAGGTGAAAATACTGATGCAAATTTCTACTTTCAGCTCCACCCCAACCCCTGATCTCATCTCATGAGCCAGGCATCCAAAAATCAGGCTGTATAGAGAGTGGAAGGAATGGCCTTGAAGGGCAGGTAAAAGAGCTACTACCAAGGCAACAGTTAGATAAAAGGGGCCTGAGTCCTGGCCAAAAACAATACTGTAACTTGAGAAAATGTTACAGACAAGCCCCTCCCTAATTTACATGAAGCTAAAGTGAGGGAGAAGGGAAGCATATTCAGACTTATAAGATTCTGTTACTATAGCCATTGCAATAGAAGTAGAACTGACCTACATGGCATTGGGTTCTTAGTCTGGTTTATTTTGTAGGACTAACAAGCTGGTGCTTTTGAATGCCAGTTCTGCTTGTAATAGATCCAACTTAACCATGATAAAATTGTGGATGAGAGGGTAGACTTGGCACGTACTGTTGAAATCTGGCTGGATGAAGAGGGTTGGTGCCTGTCATTGAGAACTGTCCATCTGGGTCTCAGTTAGAACTTCAGTCACAACCCCAAGGCGAGGAAGGTAAAGTGGCAGTTACAAGGAGGTTCTGCAGGTAGCCATGTGTGAGACTGTATTTGTGAGATTGGGCCCAAGGGACAAGCTGGAATACTGCTATTTTCTCTCAGCTCCATGGTAGCATTCCTACTTGAGCTATATGATCTCATTATGAATTTACCCAGGGTGTTAGTCCCGGATAATTTTAACCTTCCCTCTCTGGAGTTGGGGGTGGCTTGAGAATTCATGGTCATCATGACAAGCATGAGTTTGTCCCAGGTCATCATTAGCCCAACTTATGGAGCTGATTGCATATTGGACCTAGCTTTTACCTCCAAGTAGATGAGACCCTTCAGAGGTTTTCAGGAGCTGGATGGAGAGGAAGAGGTACAGACACAATCCAAGCAAGACAGAGTGGCTACTTATTCAGAAGCCCACTGGTTCTGGGATTGTACCATCTTTGATTCTTGATGGAGTACTTCTCCACCACTGATGGCAGAATATAGGGTTCTTCCTGGACTCACAGCTCACACTGGAACAATCACAGGAAGGGGCTATGGGCAGGAGGGCCTTTGTCTAGCTTAGGTCAGCATTGCAGGTTAGGTCAATATTGTAGCCTTATCCAGAACAATATTGTCACTTATGCCCTTGTAATCTTCCATATGGATTACTATAATTCACTTTACATGGGGCAGCCCTTGAAAACCCCCTTGATACTCCTGTGGCCTCTATAGTTACTGCCATGTAACATGATTATTGCAGCAGCTGCAATGGCTACGTATATACTTCCAAATGCAATTCAAGTAGCTGGTTATCACCAATAAAGCCCCATGTAACTCAGATCCTAGATATCTTCAAGACCACCTATCCCATATAGATTCTGCCTGCCCAATCCAGGGGCATAGATACTGCCAAAAGTCCCCACCAATAGATGCAATGGAAGAGGGGGGCGAAAGTGGGCATTCTTGATGGAGCCTCTGTAACAGCTTGCCTCTTGAGGCAAGGATAGCTGCCATTCTCATGGCTTTCCAAAGCTTGTGAAAAGTTGGCTGTTCTGGAAGACTTTTCAGATGTGTGCTGTAGAGTTCCCAGTTATACTAGGAAACTTATATTAATGGTATTTTCAAAAGTATAATGATATAATTGTATTTTTTTTAAAATTACATTATTTTATTTTATTCTTGTTGCATTGGCTGCATCTGTTGTTTTTGTACATTTGTGTACATTTTAACTGAAGTGGTTTATAAATTCCTAAATAAATATATATTATTTCTAGTACTTAAAGAAGGCACTCACTTCTACTATTGGCACTTTCTCTCCCACAGGCAGAGAATTCAGCATCACAGTTGGAACATCTTTCTTGGTGGTATATGAACAGGTACACTAAAGAAAAGAAGAAATTATATTTTTTGACAGAAAAGGCTTGTCCTGGTAAATTAATGAAGGGACATTTGTAATTATTGCGATTAATGAATTAGACTGACTTACAGGATTATAATGTGGTTTTGTCTCTGGTAGTTTAACATTCAATGATGGATCCTTATACTTCATATAATGGAATGTAGTGGGACATGGAGGTGTGACAATTGCATCTGAACCCAACTTAAAAGTTTGAGTGCCTTCATATGATCCTTTTATAGAAAGTGAAAGATCTTTCTCTAAAAACAAAGAAAAAGAATATGAGAAAACATCATTATATTAGAGGTTTTTATAACAAGCAAAAAATACAATGAAACATTTCAGTATGAATAATATAAAGGCAAGTTACTAAATTATTTGGTATGTCAAGATAATCTTACCTATTCTGGAAAATGTCTTTTAAACAAGCTTATATAGTCATCCATTCACCAAACCAAACCTGGGTGGCAACCAGAATTAAAATTCATTCATTCATTCATTCATTCATTCATTCATTCATTCATTCATTCATTCATTTTCCCTCCCTCCCCCACTCCTCCCTGCAGTTTTCTTGGCATGATTTCAGAAGTGATTTTCCATGCCTCCTTTGTAGGGCTGAGAGAGAGTGACTGGTCCAAGGTAACCCAGCTGGCTTTGTGCCCAGAGCAGTACTAGAACATATGGCAGTACTAGGGCAGTACACCAAACTGGCTCTTTTTCAAAAACAAAAACAAAAAAATCATGCAAATTTGCAAATCAGTTAAAGAAAAAGCTAAGTCAAGGCCTTAAAAAAACCCTCATTGCTAACATATCATGTATACACATGTCCATTCCAGAGCTCCATTAACATTCTGGCCCCAGGGTCTGGGGAAAAACTAGGTATTCATGGACTTCCAGAAGGCCAACAGGTTGGGGCAGTTCATATCCCAGGTGGAGACTGTTCTACAAGGCAGGTGGCATGATAGAGAAGGCACACCTCCTAAGGCCCATCAAGTGACACTGCTTCACCAGTGAAACCTGGAGCATGTTGTGAACATAAAAATGTTCACAATAATGAACATTTGCAGCCATGGGGATGGTGGGGGGAACCCTTATTTGTAAAAGTGTCTTACAAATGTTCTCAGATAAAACATATTTTAAGTAAATCAAATAACTGAGAGGTCTTGAAGGAAACACTACATCTTCGCGGACATTAATCATGAATGTTTGACTGATATATGAAGGTAAAACAAAATGTACCTGTAGATATCTTGGCTACCTTGAATGTTGTATGTTTTTATGTTTTAATATTGTTTTAGCATCTTGTAATATTATACTGTTGCAATCTCAATTCTTTTGTGGTTTTTAGAAAGGTAGTACAGAAATACTCTAAATGATCAATAATTTTCTTTAGTGTGAATAGACAGAATTCAAGTAGCTTGTCTGGTCAATAGTGGGGGAGTGGTACCAGAAAGAAGGCCAACTGGGTTCCTACCACTTTCCTGCTTCACTGACAAAATCCTGACCACCTAATTTCCCTTAGCTTGGTCATGCACTGTCTGGGTGACCTCATGCAAGTTATTCTTGCTCATCATTAGTAACTCCATCTCTGAAGAGAAAGAAACCATAATCAGTGTGCCAAGTAATGGCAAGTAATAATGAGATCATCACTGGAATTATGGGAAGAGACCTCATGAATTATGAATGACTTCCTGAGTTCTGTTTGGCAGTTGTGTTGTTTAGCACACTAATGAAAACAGCCAGTTATGAATATTTAATGATTTCATATAAACTCACGTGATTTATGTCGCTTGCCCTGATCCACCTCAGCTTCAAGTGTACAAATTTCACGACACTGTAATAAACAGAAATAACAACAAAAGCAACATAAATGATCACTTCTAGATTTAAAACTGTTTTGTAAGATAACTTTGAACCAGCACCAGTACAGCTGGAGAAGACCCAATAGCTAGGGAAAGAATAACTTGAAGATATATTAATATAAACTCAGCTTTTGGACAAGAGAATAATAAGCATCTCCAAGGGTTCCAATCCCATGTAATGGGACTTCCATTGGTTTCCTTGCTGATTCAGGAAACAGACATAGAGGGAAAGGTCATAGCTCAGTAAACAAAATGTCAGGCCTTCTGCCATCTATATGGCTAGAAAAAAAGTTTTAACCAAAATATATACTTTAGAACTAAATAAATGTGTCACGTCCATTGAATGGTTCAGTTAGAGTTAGGTTCTTGAAAACCCAGTAATTTCAGGTCCAGAAGATTAAGGATGTAGTAAACATTCCTACAGAAATAATCAGGACATCAACATATCTCAGTCATGACTCAAATTGGAAATCAAAATTTAGTTTTGTGGCAAACTTAATAGAATATTAACTGAGTACAGCCAGCCCCTTAGCAAATCAGTTTATTTCTTTTAAGTCAGATTTAAGTTTGCACTGACTGAGCCTAGTTTTCTATAAATATTTTCTCTGTGTTTTTGTGTATTCACTTGCATAATGGTGTGTAAGTTGATAGTTTCTGAAAGAATGGTTTGCACATTTACTACAAATGGTGGAACAATTAATTTAGAAGCCATTTTTAAAAGTCAATTTTAACCAGCAATTGTCAATTTTATTGTTATTATTGGTGGTGATGGTGGTGGTCACACAGTCAGCCAGATGTTTAGACTGGATTTGGCATTTTTATCCACCTAT